ACAGGACCCCCAAGTAATCTGGATGTTTACTTCTGCCCTTGATTACTCTGCCCTGTACCCAAAAGGATCATTTTTAACAAGCCGACCCATTATAAATGATACTGTAATGAATTCGACAAGCGGGGGAGCACTTGAGAAAGTTAAAACTCGAGGGGGTACCTGGGTGGCTCAGTCGGTTGAGTGTCCCACTTCAGCTCAGTTCATGATCTCATGGTTGAGTTCAAGCCCCGCATCGCATCGGGCTCGCTGCTATCAGCGCGGAGGCTGTTTGGAATTCTCTCTCCCCCTCTGCCCCTGCCCCTCCCCTGTTGGCTTTCTCTCTTTCTCTCTCTCTCTATGTAAATAAACAAAGAGAAGAGAATAAAAACTCAAACGGGATAAAAATACGGAAGTGTCCTAAGAATGACAGAGTCTAAAAGTTCTATGGGCACCTTTCTGGCAGGAGAACAGGACAGCTTTGGGGACAAAAGTGGAAGTGAGGCCAGACAAGTGACAGATGGGGGAGGCAACACGTACCAAGGACTGGCCTGAGAGGAAAGAAAGGTCCGAGAAACCACACACGTCTTAGGCGATGGTAAACTGACTAGCTGGGCTGGAATGGAAGGCTCCAGTAGGTGGAAAATATTTCTTGTTGGGGTGACTTGTGAGGCTGGAAAGGTATGTGGGAAGCATACCCCAGGAGAGGGAAGAACAAGAAAGGGGCCCTTTATAGACTTCATTACATTTAATCCTGTGCACAACTCCAGGAAGTTAAGTCCCTTTACAGAGGAGGCACACTGTGAGGTCAAGAAATTTGCCCAGGGCCACCGGGCCTGTCAAAGACTTTGAGTTGCTGTTTTGCCAAATACACAGCCTGCACTCTCTCTACCATTCAGCCCCTGCTCAGAACGCCAGGAGCGTGATTAGAGCCCGCAGCGAGTGATGTGCAGAGATTACCCTCTCCCTCCCACCAGTAGATACTTCCCAACAACTGAGGAAACCCATCACTGATAAAAGCAACTCCTAGGCCTGAATTACAGGCTGCAGGGCCTTAAGGAATCTGCAGGCAGCCTATCTCTGAATGTGACAACTCAATCTCCCCAAATGACACAAGAGCCTGGAAGGAAGAAGAACTCAGAGAGGGGAGATGGCAACGGCGATGGGCAGTGACCACAAATGAACCCTCAAACGGCTGGTGCTAAGAATCCCAGATTTCCAACACCAAGCCCTCTCCTCCCCCTCTGCCGTATTTATCACAACGGGGATCTCAAAGTTTGGAAAGCTACTCAGCCATTTACAGCATAATTGCCCAAACTTCAAAATGGTCTAATCCACAAACCTAGCCAGACCAGGTCCCTCACTCCAGCCTTATGAACAGCAGGGTCTCACTACAACTCCAGTTAATTACACAGTTAAACAGTGAGATGGAAAAATCTACTGTAATCTATTAAAAAATCACTGCCCCCTGAAGTCATGCCGTCTGGGGGTGGGTGAGTCCCCGGATTTCACCAGAAGACAGCAGGCGCCTTAGCCTCGGCTACAATTGTTTACTGCACATGGACAGGTTCCACATCAAGGCACGTTTGGTGGAACTGATTTAAGGCTCTCATTAAAATGTTCCTTTGTTGAGCATAAGACATCTCCCCCCCCTGCCCGCCCCCTCCAGGAGATTCCAGACCTCCAGTCCCAAGCCCTCAGCCTGCCTGCCCTAACTTCCCCCAAGATTCCCCTCTCTGCTAAACACCCACCGGATTAACATCGATTAACATCAGAGTTGTCTTCTCACGGAAAGAATTCAGGAATTCAGCATTTGCTGAACGAACAAGGGCCCAGTCTCCACCAGAATCTCCCCCTGACTCCAGAACTCAAAACATCAGCAGGGAAGACAGCCATATCAGGCGACAGGCGACGTATACACCCAAACCCAGCCACCAACCTAGGAAGCCTGGGAGCTGGGGCTCCTCACCCATATGGCTGGGCCCCCTGATCCTGGCTGCGCGCAAAAAAAAAAACAAACTTCCATACTTCCTCTGGGAGCAGATGTGGGTTCTGCCATGAGCAATAACCACCCTACACATCACAAGGAACACAGGGCAGCTCCAGAAACACCTCCTCCGAATCCCTGGAGCTTGTTCCTACCTCTCCACCTTGGGTTACAATTACCTCTCCATTTAATCAGGGGTGGAGGAGATGTTGACTCCACAAGCACCAATACCTCTCAACAGCTGGCAAACCAGGGAGATGTCAGAAAAGGCTATTCTCTACCCCCACCCTCTCTATGGCCATTCTTCCAAGAAAGAAGAAAGTGATAAGCTAGGACCAGGTGTCCTGGGCAGAGTTCCTCCAGAAAGAGCTGCTGCCAGGATCACTACCAAAGAACACTGAGAGAGAGAGAGAGAGAGAGAGAGAGAGAGAGAGAGAGAGGGAGAGAGAGAGAGAGAGAGTGTCTGTGTGCGTGCGTGTGTGTTGTGGGGGGCTTATATCCAGTCCAGGGCGTTGGGGGTGTGTAGGTAGCTTGGTGCTTTCCCGTAAAGCACTTCAACACCTCACTGGTGACTCTCAGGTGTGACCAAGCCAGGAAATAAAGGCTGTGTTGGGCTGGGGGGCGGGGGTTGGATCCTGTCTGCCCTGTAGATACCGGCCACACCCTCATCAAAACGCTGAGGCCCTCCAAGAAAGGGCAGAATGAACTCTTTTTGCCTTTCTGCCCGTAGAATGAGAGATTTTCTTTCCTTGGCGCGGAGAGACAGGATGGAAATCCAGGAAAGAGCAGAACAAACCCCGTCCGCACCTTTGCAGGCCGGCCATGCCCGATTTTGGCAGCGGCCTTCACACATTAGTCACCGCGACAGCCTAGGACTCTCGGCTCCCCAGATTCGACCCGGCTGGGAGTGGGCTCAGGGCTTGGGCCCAGGAGCTGGAGGAGACCGGGCGGCCTCTGATTCTTCCCTTCTTCCGCCTGCACCAGCAGGGACATCAGGGGTCCCAGCCTGGCCCGGGAACTTGGAGGAGGGAAGCCGGGAGCGTCTGGCCGGCGGAGGTAACAAAGCTCCGCGCTCTGCGCGTCGCAGGTCGGTCCCGCATCCGGCCCCAGGCCGGCCCCCCTCACCTAGGTTGAGACTGCTGGGGGAACTCCGTCTCCCCCGCCACCAGCCACCTCACCGCGCCCCCCCCAAGTAGGAGGGAGTCATTTCCCTCCCGAAAAGAAACTCGCCACCGGGGCCCGGGAGCCGGCAACTCCGTGCAGTTCCCGAGAAAACTCTCCGCTCAGACCGGGAAAACTCTGGGCGGCTGGAAACGCGTCCTCGCGGGCGCGAAGGGAGAGGGGCCCGAGCGAGTCCGCGGGGGCTTAGCCAAACCGGCCGCCGAGACCTCGCGCCCGCCGAGATCTCTCCACCACTCCAGGGTGTCTTGCCTGGCCCAGCCACCCGAAGCCAACTCCCCGGTGCCCCCTTTTGCCCGCGGGGCTCCCGCGCTTCTCGCGCCCCGCTCCCGCAGCTCGCCGCGACTCACCGCCCAGCAGCGGCAGCAGCAGGACGCTGAGCAGAGGCAGCCGGCGGAGGCTGCTCGGGGTTCCCCGCGCAGCTCCCATCGCGGCGGCGGGCTCGGGGAGAGGAGACGGCCGGCGCACGGCGGGCGCCCGAACTGCGCTCCGCGGCGGGCCCGGGAGGCGGAGCGCACCGGAGCGCGGGCGCCGCTGCAGTATAGCCGCAGCCGGAGCCCGAGCCCGAGGCGTCCCGAGCCGGAGCCGCGGGTTGCTGGTACCTCCGAACCCTCGCGCGCCGCCGCCGCCGCCGCCGCCGCCGCCGCCGCCGCCTCCAAGCCCCGCCCCGCGACGCCCCCTCCCCGCCGGCCGCCGCGCGGCGCCCCGCCCCTTCGACGCCCCCACCCCGCCGTGGCGGGGGAGGAGCTCGCAGTTGGGGGAGGGGTCTGGAGATGGATGGGGGACTGAGGGAGGGAGGCCCCAGGGAGTGCAGGGGACCTGAACGAGGTAGGGGGCCGTCGGCTGTGCCTACTGCCCGCTCAGTCTGCAGGGACTCAGAGAACCAAAGTGACTCTTATGGCCCCTGGGGAGGATTGTCAGTTCTGGGCCTTCCTGGGGGCTCTGACCAGCATTTCCCCCAAATTCTCTGGGTAGGAGTGGGGAAAAGCGGGCTTTGGCTCACTTCTCAGCAACCAGAAATCCTGAGGAAGACCTAGAACAAAAGGGTGTCTTTGATGTCCCCAAGCAAGGTAGCCTGGAGATACTATGGAACCCCTGGAGAAGTGAGGGGCCAGTGCATGGCCGGGTTCTGGTTTGGATTGTGGACCAATCTGAACCCAAAGGTAGAAACCGGCCAGGCCTCAGCCTGGCTGAAGGCTGTTAAACTGACAAATTTATCCCAAGTCCATCTCCAGGCAGCCTGGGCTGCAGGGCATGGCCAAGTCTCCAGCTGTGGGGAGGCCCAGCGCAGCCCTTGCTCCAGGCACCCCCCACCCCCAGCGCCACCACCCCCACATTCTTTCTTTGTTGTGAAAGCAGCAAGGGGTGTAGGAGGCGGGTCAGGAGGAGTCAAGCTTTAGAAGATGGGCCCCAGCTGCTGCTCAGGCCTCCAGGATATGCTGAGAGGGGATGGATAGTGAGTGCCTCATCCCCCTCCGGCTCCGGAGGGCCCCCCAGGCCTGCTTAGACCTCCCTTCCCCCAAGCAGCTGGGAGGAGGAGGGGCAGCCACAGAGGGCCTCACAGGCCGGGAGCAGTGGCGCCAGGACTCCAGGGTCCTGCCACATGGCCACCACATGTCCCTGACAACCCAGTCCCTAGCACCTTCTCCTTGGGTTGTGGGCCTCCTCCCCCATCCCCCAGATGCCTTCCTGCAGGCCCTGCTGGAGAGGATACAAACAAGGGAAGGAAGAGAGGAGAGATCCGTGAATCAACACTTCTCGTGTTGCCCCATCCATCACTGCCCGTTGCCCTTCTGTGAAGGGCCCCCCACACAACCCTTGCTCCCTACCCTCTTCGGTCAGGACTCGAGTGGCAAAATGGTTACCTGATTCTTTTATTTAAGAAAAGTGAAATACACGGACCTGAAGTGAGGCAGCAGAGGGAACAAGAGAGGCCAGAGCAAGGGCAGCTTGGCTGGCCTGCCCCAAACCCTCTGGCAGAAGAGCCAGCAGCAGACTCCATCTCTGAGATGCATACCTGCTCTTTATGCATCTTGGGGGCCTCAGAGCTAGCTTCTCTAGAGGACTACGGGGGAGAGGATGTCCTGAGGGTCCTTCCTGAGGCGGATTCCTGAGGAGGGAGCCAAGACCCTAGGGCAGCAGCAATCTTCTGGTTAACTGCTCTCCCTTCACTGTCCCACCTTGGGGCGGGAAGAGCCAGGAGCAATAGGGAATGCTGAGAGGGCTGTCTGGGGGGAGACCCAGCAGACCTGGGGGCTCAGTTGAATGTCAGCTGCTTGAAGAGAGGTCCGTGGTGCTGGCACTGAGGCCCCGGGAGACCTGAAACAGACAACACCATGCCATCGGCCCAGGGACCTCAGCCTCACTGAAGACTGTCCCCTGGAGTCTATCCATTTCATGGCTGCAATCTATCTGCAATCTATCTAGACCTAGGACGGAGCCTGTAACCTCAGTCCCAAGCTCCGTGACTCTGTTTAGTTTTAGCTTTTGCTAGGATTTTCAAGAAGGCCACAATCTGGTGGAGAAAACACTGGGAAGAGCCACATGCATATCAGTACATACTTTGAATGTGTTGATACAAATAGTCTCTTCCCATTAAGATGTCATTTTTGGGGCGCCTGGGTGGCTCAGTCGGTTAGGCATCCGACTTCAGCTCAGGTCATGATCTCACGGCTCATGAGTTCAAGCCCTGCATCAGGCTCTGTGCTGACAGCTCAAAGCCTGGAGCCTGCTTCAGATTCTGTATATCCCTCTCTCTCTGTTCCTCCCCTGCCTGTGCTCTGTCTCTCAAAAAAAAAAAAAAAAAAAAAAAGTCATTATTGGTTTCCAAAATGTAGATAATTAATACTTTTTTTCTTTTTCCCTCCTCATCTGCTACTGAGCCCCCAAGGTAAAGAATATGGTGGCTGCAGGAGGTAGAGCAAATCATTCCTAAATTATTCATAATTTCAAAGTACCAGTTTAAAGAACATCGATTCCTTTTCCCTTCCTGATTCATTTCTTTGCTGCCATCTCTGACCCAAAACTGCCCCTTGGTGGTCACCACCCTCTTCAAGCTGCCTGATTCTCATCCACCCAACTCTAATTCCCTGGCTGGAGTCTTCATCCCTGAGGATTCTCTCCTTTTCCCTAACTCCTACTGCTCTTGGTCCATGGCTACCCTTTCTTTCTCACCCACCTATATGCTCACGAGTGCTGCTCTCACCTGGAGGGGTGCTGCACTGGGTTGATTCAGATAGTTTAAGGAGGCTGCCCGCTTCATGTTGCTGCTACAATGCAAAAAGAAAGAACTGAGGCCTCTTCTCTTCCCCATTTGTGGCCCTAATGCTGTGGGCCTCTCGGGCACATGTCAAATCAGTGCCTCCTCCCCATCGGACACCCACACACACACACATACACACACTCATACACACTCTCTTATCTTCATCTGTAACCAATATCTCCTCAGTTTTCCTGAACACTGGGGCACCCATTTTGCCCAGACTCTTTCTCCATGGCCATCCCACTGACCCTCCTCCATGTTTCTCTCCAAGATACTTCCCCTCCAGAGATGAGGGTCCAAGAGGAGCTGGAGGCAAGGGCTCACTGGCTTGCTTTGCCGTATCTCAGTTTCCCTGTGTACCTGGAGGGCCGAGGCTCAGTCCCCTGGAGCTTCCTCACCAGGAGTTCACTGCTTCTACGAAGCACATCCCGGATCTTGCCCAGAGAACCACTTCTCTGTAGGGTCCCACTGCCATCCTGGCAGAAAGGGGTGAGGAAGAGAAGCTAAGGAGATCCTATCAGGCTGCCTTCTGAGTCTACTGACATCATTTATTCTGCACACTTCCCGCCTCCCCCCAAAGCCTAGTGATTGAAAACAAGAGCTCTATCGATAGATGGCTTGCAGATACCCCTAAAGGGATGGGCTAACTGAACTGGTGGACAATATGTGCCCGTGTCCTACATGGACAGGCCCAGAGCCTCTCACCACCACCAGCAAGAGGGAGGAGAGATCAAGGGGCAGTAATGAGACTCACCCCTGACCATTCCACGGCCACAGAAGCATCTTCACCTCCCTCGAATTTCACGCTGCCCCCAGAGCCCTCCTGAGAGGTCCTTCCGCTGTCACCTTCCCCAAGTAGCTCGGCCACCTTGGTCTGACTGATAGGGTCAGTGCCCTGGAAGGAAAAGGAAGGAGCTAGGACTCTGCACTCCTTAACTGCTCAGGATGGGACGTTCAAACTTTTTTCACCATCAGCCCCAACAAGGAAAACATTTTCCCTTGTGATGTCCTAGCATACACATTACACAGATTGGGAAGAGCTTACGTCTTTGCAATGCATTCCTACATAGAGATACATACATATTTTAACTATGGCCCACACTGAATTGATTTCAAACCCCACAAATGAGGGGCACCCGGGTGGCTCAGTTGGTCGACTGTCTGACTCTTGATTTTGGCTCAGGTCATGATCTGAAGTTTCCTGAGTTCAAGCCCCACATTGGACTCCTTGCTGACAGTGCAGAGCCTGCTTGGGATTCTCTCTCTTTCTCTCTGTGCCCCTCTCATACTCTATCTCTCTCAAAATAAATAAACTTTATAAGAAAAAAAAAACACACTAATGAATCACAACCCACAATTTGAGAAACTCTGACTTTGGGCTCCCCTCAACCTCAACTCCCTCCCTCACACCACCCATGCTCCTCTGCAGTAGATTCTTCAAATTGTGAAAGGACATGGCTTCCCTTTTTTTTTTTTTTAAGGGAGAGAGAGAATCCCAAGCAGATTCTGTGCTGTCAGCACAGAGTCCAATGCAGGGCTTGATCACATGAACCGTGAGATCATGACCTGAGCCAAAATCAAGAGTCAGACACTCAGCCAACTGAGCTACGCAGGTGCCCCACGCAGCTTCCCTTGTAATGGTCCCATTTAGTGATATGAACGTCGAACTTGGAGTCCTGACCGTAGAGCGCAGGTGAAGGGGTAGGAACACACTTAAAAACAACCACAAAGAGTGTCTCACCTTCCTGTCCCCGGCTTCCTCCTCAGCCTCTCCTTTTAATCTTCTGAGATTCACAAGAAGCCTCAGTGATCCCCCGTCCCCAGGGCCTACCTTCCAGACCTCCTTCCCCTGTCCCCTCCTGGTCACTGACCTGTTTCTGAGAGCGCAGGGCACATTCTTCTAGGGTCTCAGCAGCCTCCAGCTTTCCCTGGCGCCTGTACAGAGCTCCCAGGTTTCGCAGAGTGGTGTTTACTGTCGGGCTGTGGGAAGGAAGTGAAGATGGACTCAGAAAAGAAGTGGGTGGGGGGCGCCTGGGTGGCTCAGTTGGTTAAGCGTCCAACTTCGGCTCAGGTCATGATCTCACGGTTTATGGGCTCGAGCCCCGCTTCAGGTTCTGTGCTGACAGCTCAGAGCCTGGAGCCTGTTTCAGATTCTGCATCTCCCTCTCTCTCTGCCCCTCCCCCACTCGTGCTCTGTCTCTCTGTCTCAAAAATAAACAAAAAACAAAAAAAAATTTAAAACAAAAAGAAAGAAAAGAAACGGGCGAGAGAAGGGGCAAAGCTAAGGCCAAGGAAAAGTCAAAGGGAAGAAGGGAAAAGGTCCCAGGGGCCAGGATCAGGTCTTGGATGGAGAGTGTCAGAGGCCAAGCCAGCTTCTCGCTGGCAGCTCACCTGCTCACTTTGCAGGCCTTGTACCAGCCTCCGTACTCAGTATAGGGTGTGCCACCCTCTCGGTGCCGGCTCTGCAGAACAGAGGGGAGAGGAAGCCAGAAATGAGAGCACAGGAGTGCTGGAGTGCAAGGGGTGCGGGTGCAGACTGGGCTGGGGAAGGCACCCTGTGGCCGGTGCTCAGGTGGGAAGTAAGGAAGGCGCTGGGCTAGCGCAAGGAGTAAACCAGAGCCCCAGGCAGCCTCGGGCTCCCCAGGCCGGGCCCCACACTCACTTTGCTCATTTCCTCCCGCTCCTCTGCATGCATCCAGATGGGCTTGTGGTCATCTGGGGGTGATACACGGGATGGGGTGGTAAGGTTAGAGAACAGAGCTACACAGTATGTGGGGGAGCCAGGACCCAGAGACCCAGGGGTTGGACTCAAGGGGTTTGGCTCTGCCTGGGAACCTCTAGGGCCTAACCCCCTACCTTTGGTCTGCATTTCTTTCCCACCCTGCAGCGCCCCGCCCCCCCCCGGGGCCAACCCCACTCACCATCCACAGACCCAAACTCCTGCAGATGGGCCCGGGTCAGGATCTCTTTGTAGAGCGTCTCAGCCTCGGCATATTTGCCCTGTTTCAGGTAACAGGAAGCCTGCAGGCAGAAAAGCAAAAACACAGGACAGAGTCTCAGCAGGGCTCAGGGCTTTCCACTTCTTGGCCTCTCTTCCCCAGAGATCCTCCTCACACTTCCTTTGCTAGCTGCAGGGTCAAGGATGTCCTCGCTCCACTCCCAGGAGGCTAGGGGACTTGGCTTTCCCCCTGGGATGAGGCGGATCCCTCAGCCCAAAGGCAGCCCCAGACACACAAAGATGACGGGGTTAGTGCACTGCAATATGGTGCTCTCCCTTCGCCTCCCTCCAAGGACTCCATCCCTTCCTCCCTTACCAGGTTGTTCTTGGTCCGGGCTACGTTAGGGTTGTCCGGCCCCAGCTGCCCCTCATAGATGGCCAGTGCCCGCCGGTAATAGCGCTCCACGGCCTCGTACTTGCCCTGGTTTTGGCACAACAGGGCCAGGTTGTTCAGCTGCTTTGCCACATCTGGGTGGTCAGTGCCGAGGACCTGGAGGGGAGTAAAGGAGTGATGGATGGCTATGAGTGTGGGGGGGGTGTGTAACCATGTGTGCCCATGCCCGTGTGGGGAGCAAGGGGGAGGGCAGGACAGGAGGGAAGAGGCCGGGAAGGGGGTTGAGGAAAAAAAGTGATTGAGGAGGCTGATCTGGAAAAGAGATGATGGGGGAAGGTCACTGCAGCAGGGAAGAGGGAGCAGGCACAGGCACCTTTTCGCGGATCTCCAGTGCGCGCTGGCACAGTGGCTCTGCCTCCTTGTATTTGCCCCTCTTGCCATAGAGCACAGCCAGATTGTTGAGTGTGGCAGCCACCTAGGGAGACAGGCCGCCTTCTCAGCGTCGGTGCTTTCAGGGACCTGGAGCACCGGAGGTCCTCCTCCTCCCGGACAACAGGGCCCCACGCTGCACAAGTCCCAAGAGAACTGGACTCTGTCATCCTAACCGGAGGCGGAGGCGGGTGGAGGCAGCCGCCGTGGGGAGAAGCAGCTGAACTGGAGGTTCTGAGGTTCTCTCTGGGGTTGGTATCGCCCCCTAGGGGGATTTCTAGATATTTCTGTAGGTGAGGTTTTGTGGGGTTTGGGGTTGCCATAAAGACTGGGGGCATTACCTTTGGGAAGGAAGGATGTTCTGCGCGTGTGGGACAGCTCTGCTAACTTTGGAATGTCCCGCCAGACCGTCAAACACTGTAAGCTTTGACACTTAGTGGGATATCAAGATAGGAGCTATGTTTTCTGAGCGACATCATCTCTATCACATGTTGTAACATAGAAATTATTTTCACACAGCGCATTCGCAAAAATATCTTGTTTCTCATTTTCCCCACTTGATTTTCCACAGTTGATCATTTGTCTTGGCATGCTATCCCTATTTAAGGTTATTTCTCTCTTTCTCTTATCATATACGAATAAATCTGGCCTGTCGTTACTTAGTCTAACACTGGATCTTAATCTTGTATCCACCAATACTTCCGCTCTGTCATTTTTTAAAAATTCTATTCACTTACGTTCTTAGTAATCTCTACACTCATTGTGGGGCATAGGCTCCAAGATCAAGAGTCACATGCTTTTCTGACTGAGCCATCCGGGCACCCCTGCTCTGTCATTTTTTCAGTACTTCTTATATAGAATGTCTTACTGGTCTTATACTTTTTCTAAATCTAAAGTTAAATATCATATTGGGTTATACGTAAATCACATATTATGTTTTCTTGAATGGTTGTACTCAATAAAACTGTTACTATGTTCTCGTTTTATTGTGAGTATACTATATATTATTTTATTGGAAGTTACTTTCTTTGTTTCTCTCTTTTTTTAAGTTTATTTATGTCTTTTGAGAGAGAGAGAGAGAAAGAGCCATGTGTGCACATGTGGGAGAGGGACAGAGAGAGAGAGAAAGGGAGAATCCCAAGCAGGCTCCGCATAGAGTCCTATGTGGCCCAATCTCACGAACTGTGAGCCCATGACCTGAGCTGAAATCAAGAGTCAGATGCTTAACTGACTGAGCCAGCCAGGCGCCCCTTTCTCTTTCATATTAATAAGGTATTGCTCAATAGTTTTTGGAATTGTATGCACAGGTCAGTTACAGCATCTACGAATTATGTTTCAGGAAAATACTCATTATAAGAAGGAATCACTGGGTCTCAGAGAGTTGAGAACCACTGGGCTTAGCAGAGAGTGCCTGGAAGAACAGAGCCCTCACGCTTCTTCCCTGAGCACCCCTAGTGAGTGAGCTGAGGGCAGTGGATAAACAAACTAAGAGAAGCCAAAGTAGCATAGAGCAAGGAGGGCAAGAAATACTGACAGCAGGGTGGTCCCGGCCCAGGGTGCTCTCCCGGATGCTGAGGGCATCATTCAGCAGGTGGGCAGCTTCCTTATACTTATTCTGGTCCCTGGAAGAGGAGAGAAGTAACAAGGGGTTACCCTGAACTCTGACCCAAGCCATCTTCTTCCCTCCTTCCCTTTAGGAATATGGAGGTATGTTTAGGGATTGGGGGCCCCACGAGGAGACAGGAAGCCTTAAGCAGTGAGAGTTCACCAACACACCTGTCCCTGGATGCAGAACACTGCCACGCCAAGAGGAGACAGGTTATAGGATGCAATTGATGGAGACAGAGAGGGAAAGAGACCCTCCCCAAAGGAAAGAACGGAGAAGCAAAGAGGCTGAGACATGCGTGTCTCTGAGGTCAAGGGCTCGGGTATGGAAAGAACAAGAGAGTACTGGTGCAAGAGAAAGCCCCTAGTGGGGTCACTTAGGAGGCCCAGCAGGCAGAAGAGGTCCCCTGGGGAGAGGAGGAATGGGAGCCAAAAGTGGGTTGAGGTGGGAATCTGGAGGCTGATTCAGGAGAGGAGGAGGCCAGGACTCACCGATACACCAAAGCAAGGATGTTGAGCATGGTCGCGACATCGGGGTGGCCGCGGCCAGATGTGCGCTCCAAGTCCTCCAGTGCCTGCTTGCAGAGCGGCACGGCCACCTCATAGCGACCCTGGGCGGCATACTGGATCACCAAGTTGTGCAGTGTCCGCAGCCTCGCTGGGATCTCATATCCGCTGTGCTGGGCGCCCTGGCCACGGGACACTAACCATCACAGACAGTGAACAGGAAACTTCCTCGGGGCACTCTTCTCCCCTTTGCCGTCCCTCCTCTCCGTGCCTTGTTCTGTGCCCGCGTCCACCCCTCGCCAGGCCCTCCCTGAAGATCCACCCCAGCTGCTATTCCTTTTCTCACTCCCTTGTACCTGGGCCCCTCACAAACCCACTTGTTCACCCACTAATTCATTCATTCAACAAAAGTTACTCCATCAGCATGAGCCAGGGGCTGCGTCAGGGATACAAAAATAAGACCTGGTTCTTTCCCTTGAGGAGCTCATGCTCTTCCATGACTCCAGGGCCATTCTCTCATTCGACTATGAGCTTCTTACTGGCGAGAACTCCATAACTGTCATCTCGGTATCCCTAATGTCCACCATAGTGCCCAGTACACAGGAAGCGTTTAATAAATATTGATGAACAATGGGGAGGCTGAGGAAATCAAAGCACTAGCCCAGTCCCGCCCTATATCCAGGGAAAGTGGAGAACCTATTTCTGGAAAGGGAGCATCCTGTATGCAAGGTGGGCCACCATTAGGACCAGCCCCCTGCTGCACCGTTTCACCCTCCAGGCCCAGAGGCAGACTCACAGCCATTGCTGGGGTCTTCCTCCTCCTCATTGGGGAAGAGATCATCCAGGGAATCCTTGGTGGCATCACCCTCCTTCTCCTCCTGGAAGGGAAGAAGCAACACGTTTAGGCCAAGATATCCCCAGTTGCCTCTTCAGGGCCCCTCTAACCCATGAAATCGCTGACAGCTGGAGAAAAGCCTAGTTCATGTCTCTGCCCCTGAGAAGGCCAGCAACTGTCCACCAATCTCACACCGCTCTTATTTGTAAATCTCCTTCCATCACATTAAGAGTTTCCTAAGTACCTTCATTCTCTAGCCTCCACCCCTCTCCTCTTCAACTCTTGTAATTATAGACCAGTGCTGATCTCTGTGTGTTTACACTGATTATATGTCTGTCCTGTCTTTCCTGAGGGCGGGGAGTGTCTGATCTTATTGACACGTATCCAAAGCACATCGGGCTCAGCCTTGCGCCCTTCAACTGCTACCTCTCATGTTGGACTTAGTGCTCAACCCTCACGGTCTCACCTGCTTCCACATGGGCAAATTTGCTTTGCCTCACCAAGCATGTCAGCCTTCTACAAACCCCTCCAGCCCTCCCACCCAGACTCACCAATGTGTCTGTCCCTTGCAAATCATCCCACTTCCCTGGGACAGATCAGCTTTCCAGCCCAGGAGCCTTATCTATGACACATACCCAACCCCAGTCTAGAAAGCTTCTCCCTCCCCCTCATCATCCGTTAAAATCCAGCCCAACTCCTAACCTGTTCAGCTAAAAAAAATCCAACCTCAGTCTTACCCTTCCATCCCAATACCCCATCTGTAAATCCTTCTCAGACCATTCCAGCTCCCACGAACAAATCTTGAAATTCCTCCCATACTGACAACCATTCACCCAGCACTGAGCATTTGCTGCTTTATGTTGTTACATACGTGTTCTCATGTGTAAGCCTTGGCCCTATAGCTATGTTATAGGCTTGAGAAGGCAGGAACTCTTTTACAGTTCTTTTTTTTCAATCTTCTTTAAAAAATGTTTATTTAGGGGCACCTGGGTGGTTCAGCTGGTTAAGCATCCAACTTCGGCTCAGGTCATGATCTCACAACTTTTGAGTTCGATCCCCACATCAGGCTCTGTGCTGATGGCTCAGAGCCTGGAGCCTGCTTTGGATTCTGTGTCTCCCTCTCTCTCTGCCCCTCCCCCACTCATGCTGTCTCTCTCTCTCTCCTTCAAAAATAAATAAACATAAATTTAAATTTTTTTTAATGTTTATTTTTGAGAAAAAGAGAGCACGGTGTGTGTGTGTGGGGGGGTGGCGCAGAAAGAGAGGGAAACAGGATCTGAAGCAGGCTCTGCACTAACATCAGAGAGCCCAATGCAGGGCTCGAACTCATGAACCTTGAGATCGTGACCTGAGCTGAAGTCAGACACTTCACCACCACTAAGCTACCCAGGCACCCCTCTTTTATAGTTCTTTACATCTCCCTTACACACATCCTCTCACACCACCTAGGGCAGAAGGATAAATAAATGACTGTTGATTGAGGGTTAAATTTCACATTGTGAGAGCAAATTTTAGGAGGGTGTTGCTCGACTCTGCTATGCTTTCCCCCATTGTAGCACTTAGGCTTATGGACTGGAATTGTCCAGGTGCTTCTCTGTCTGCCCCCAACCCCGAACTATAACTGTGAGAGCAGGAACTTTGTCTGCCTGTTCACTGTTGCATCCCCAGCAGGGCGCACAGCACCTGGTGTACATAGGTGTCGTGGAATTAAATGTCCATTGAATGAGTGAAAACTGTTTCTACCTTGCAGTTTTCTGGAGTTGGTGTCAAGACCCGCATCCTGTCAGGTGGGGGCAGGCTGTGTGGCACTGCTGGCCCCTACAGCAGATAAAGCAATCACCCCCACATCTGTGCGGCTTCCAGCTGTCTGCCCCGCGGCCAGCCTTGCCTGTGCATGCTTACCGCAGTGTGCCCATCCTCGTCGTACTGTCGCAACTGCCCCAGGAACTCCAGGTGCTTCTTTTCCTCCTCCAGCTGGGCTACCGCCTGCTCGCTGCGCTGCAGCCGCTGCTGGGTGCCCGCCAGCTCGTCCCGGAGCCACTGGTTCTCCTGACACAGCCGCCGTACCTGAGCCCGCAGCTTCTGTTTCTCTGACTCCACTGTGCTCAGGTGGCTGGCCAAGGCCAGCATCACCTAGATGGGCACATCCTGTAAGCGCCACACTCTGGATTGGAGCGTTCAGGGATAAGTGGGAGCGGTGCCTACTGCCAGCAAAGCTGTCAGGAGCCATGAGGCGGGATTGGGTAGCGATGGCTCTACCTTCAAAATATACTCTGAATCCACTCTCTCAGCACCCTGGGCCAGGCCACCATCAGTTCCCATCTGGATGGGTACAACAGCCTCCTCCCTGGCCTCTGCTTCTGCCCTTTTTGCTTAGGGTCTGTTCTCAACCCAGCAGCCAGATAATCCTTTTATTTTTTTAATGTCAATTTATTTATTTTGAGAGAGGGAGAGAGAGAGAGAATTTCCCAAACAGGCTCCACATTGATAGTGGAGATCTCACAAATAGTGGAGATCATGACCTGAAATCAAGAGTCAGACGCTTAACCGACTGAGCCACCACACGCGCCCCAAACTGATCTTTTTAAATGTTGAGCTAGACTTGGGCACCTGGGTGGCTCAGTCGGTTAAGCGTCCAACTTCAGTGCAGGTCATGATCTCACAGTTCGTGAGTTCGAGCCCCACATCAGGCTCTGTACAGGCTGATGCACTGATGGTGCAGAACCTGCTTGGGATTCTCTCTCTTTCCCTCTCTCTCTCTCTCTGCCCCTTCCCTACTTGCATGTTTCCCCCACCTCAAAATAAATAAGCTTAATAAATAAAAAATAAAGTTATAAAAAAGTGTTAAGCTAGACCACATCACTCCTCTGCTCAATATATTCCAATAGCTTTCATTTCATTCAAAGTAAAAGCAACGTTCTTATGACGACCTTCAAGTTTCACATGATCTGTCCCTTTCTCTCCCACCCCTTCTACCTCTTGTACTTTAGCCTCTATTTTGCTTCATCTCACACACTCTACTGCAACACACTGGTCCTCACTGAACTTGTCGAGAAGGCTCCAGTTCAGGGCCATCGTGTGTACTGTCCAATCTTTGCTCAAATGCCACCTTTTCAGGAAGACTTTCTTTGACCACGCTATGTAAAGGTGTATCTTCTCTCTCCGTATCCCTCAACCCCCTTCTCTGTTTTATTCTTACCTCTCATCTTTAGCAATTATCACTCTGACACACAGAATACACTTATTCTGACATATAGATAATACACAAATAAATGTAAGCTAGAATGTAAGCTCTGAGATGGCAAAGAGTTTTGACTGTTGAGTTCAGCGATGTGTCTCCAGTGCCCAGAGGAGTTGTGCCTGGCACAAAGTCGGGGCTTAATACATGTTTACTGAATGAATGAAGGCAAGCATCTAGAACAAGGAGATCCTAAATGACCCCAAAACTCCAATCAGGCAAATGCTCCTCCAAGGCCACTTGGCACCATCTCTTCCCCTCACCTGGGCCTCACTCAGCCCCAGCTCGATGTTCTCCATGGAACGTCGCAGCTGCCGGGCCTTCTCATGCACCAGCCCTTCTTCATGGCCTCCTTGCTGCAGACACTCAATGGTATGGGACAGACTTTGCAGGACAGCCTGATGTTCACTGTGTAGGGCCTCCAGCCCTTGGCTCACCAGCCGGGTACTTCCCAGGATCTCCTCCTGGCTGAGCCGGTGCCCTGCAGGCTCATCCCGTTGCCCCAGCACCAGGCCTGACATCCTGGCCAGGGGGACCTTGCCTGGGCTGGGGAGAAACAACAGAGCTCAGTGGGGGTAAAGAAAAGAAAGAGCAGCTGAGTACGTTGGTTAGAGGGTGGTGAGGATCCAAGGGAAGGGACAAGGGAGAATATGGGTGACCTTCTGTCTCTGGAGAGAGAGTGATCAGTGGGGAGGGAGCCTACAACACTAAACACAAAGTAAAGGTTGTGGCAAAGAGAGATGGAGAGGAATTGAGTTGAGCGAGGAAAGACAATAGAAGGAACAGAAGTGCTGAAAACTAGCAGGTGGATTTAGAAATTAGGAAGAGAATAGGAAATGTTGTTGAAGAGAGAGCTTGGGACAGTAATAGGAAAAGGAATCAGATGAGAGCATTACAGGGAACACAGAGGGTCTCTGGAGAGAGCTGCAAAGGAAACAATTAAAGCAGACAGGAGATATAAAGAAAATGGTGCAGGGGTTTCAAAAAATGGGAAAGGTACAGGTTTCAAAGTTACAGGGAAGAGAGGGAGAAGAAGGAAAAAAAGACGCGTTCATTGCACGACCCAGACAGAGGGCCCCAGAAAGTTCCAGGTCTTCAGACTATGCCACCCACAGAGCTAAGGCCAGCATCTCCAAACCCGGTAAAGTCTGCCTCTCTCCCCACTAGGCCTTCAGCCCATACTTCCCACCCTCCAGGTGTCAGGCTCTCTTCCTACTTCCTCAAAAGAGCCTTGTTTCTCATCTTTGAAGTCCTCTTACCAGTAGGTATACAGAGCAGGGCCCTCGGCTGTGGCGCTCAGGCCAGAGCCCGGAAGAAACTCTTTCAGTAGCCAGGGACTCACAAGGATCTGCCCTGCCCAAAGTCCAGAAGTCCAGCGTTCCCACCCCTTCTCTCACCACCTCACAGCCACCCAGAGGACCTGGCACAGAGCCCTACGCAGGGCAAACACCCTCCCTCTCTCTACCTACAGGCCTTCAAAGGCGACCAGCGTGTCCCTCTTCCTTCCCAGAGCCAACGTCCCACCCTATGCCTGGGGAGCTATTTTCTCCCAAGAAGGGAGTGGACTTGATCTGAGATCTGCGGCAAGGGGTGTGTCTGGGAAAGGGTGAGGTGCAAGACCTAGTCACTCCTGACCCATTCACTTTCATGGCTTTGTCTCTGTCGTGACCACCTACTAACAGGCTCTGAGAGAAGTCACCTTAGGGTGCCTCTCAGACAACTGATGATGCAGGGAAGAATGGCAGGTCTTCAGAGCGGCCTCAGGGTCACAGGGAAACACTGCGCTGGGAGTTGGGAAAGCGGATCGGAGAAGTGTCCCGGGCTGTCGACCTATCCCGGGGCCCAGGGTGGGACAGAATGAGATGGGCGGGGGCGAGAGGGGGAGGTGCGGGTGTACGGCGGGGGTCCGCGTCGGGAGAGAGGACCCAGGGACCAGAGAATCCCGCGGTCGATGAGTCTATCCGTAGAGCAGGGGGCGGGGCAGGCCGTCTGTCTGTCCGTCTGGACGCCGAGGGGCGGGAAGAATCGCGGGGGGGCGGAGTTTTTCTGTCCGGACTTGTGTGAGGTCTGCAGGTGGGTGGTTGTTCATCTGTCCGGGAGTGGGGAAAAGAAGTAGCGGGACCTCAACCCTCAGCCCCAGAGGTACCCTTACCGACTCACCCGCAGTCTGTCGGTCTGGCTGCCGCCCTTGCCGGTACTGCCCCTTTAAATTCATCATGGCTGCCGCTCGAGGTAATTGTTTTGACGGCTCAGGGGGGCGGAGCGGGTTTATCAGTCACGCGACCTAAGGGTCGCCCGAGGATTGGCTGTGGCCACGCGCAAGGAGGAAAGGAGGTGTGTATTCACCTTGGTCTCCCGTTCTCTGCCCACCGCATTACGTCATGAGGGAGCGACGGCCCAGGGATTTGTTAGCGTCATGTAAAGGCGCCAGGCGGCCTGGCTGAAAGTAACGGTGGTGTGCTGAGCCCAGCGGAGTCTGGCTACCGTCATGGCCCTGAGGGTACTGACTCGCGCTCTGGGCTCCTTGAGCCTGACGCCTCCGGCCGTCGCCACCCTCAGCTCGAGCCTGCTCCCGGCCGCCCAGGTAATCCACCCTGTCTGCGAATGAGGCTGCCTATTCGGGCCGCCGGAGTGGGCACCCTGGGATGGAAGACAGAGAATGCGAGTCTGGTCAGGAGTCACGCCCGCCTGGGAAGTTGGATAAGTCCCTCTCAGCCTCAGCCTTCTCTTCTGTAACCGTGGCTATTCCACAGGGCCACAGGATTCCTCAGACGAGATATTGGAGGTGAAAGTATTTTACAGATCACTGTGCAGATTTCAGTAATAACTGACACTCAGTGCCAATCGTAAGCCAAGCATAAGTAACAGATATTTTAAATAAATGAACTCCTGGGGCGCCTGGGGCGCTCAGTCTGTTGAGCATCCGATTTCGGCTCAGGTCATGATCTCATGGGGCTCGCTGCTGACAGCGTGGAGTCTGCTTGGGCTCCTCTGTCTCTTTCTGCCCCTCCCCTGCTTGTGCGGACTCTCCCTCTCTCTCAAAAATAAATAAATGAACTCCTTTCAAACACTGTATAAGGTAATTATCATTACCATTTTACTATGCAAAAACTGATCAGGAGTCTGAGATCATACAGTAGCTATTGGACTAGACAGTCTGGCTTCAAAGCCTGAGTTCTTAACCGTTAAAGATGAGTTCCTGCTGAGATTAGAGAATAGAGGACAAGATAACAAGATTAGGAGGCTAAGGTAAAGGTATCCTCAAAGTCCCTAGTGGGCAATTGGTGAGTCACAGAAAAGAGAAGTAGTAAGTCTCATTCCTCTGGACCTTCCTGGGTGATGGTAAAGTTTGGCAGATGAATACTTAAAATCAAAGTCACACCAACCTACTCTGTGAAATGCTGGGAATACAACAGGGAACAAGACAGAGGTGGCCCTTCCCCTCCATTCACATCTGTAATACTCCCAGAAACATAAACTCATAGGGGCAAAAGGCATTGGTGCTGATGGTGGCACAGGGATGTGGGGAAGTTACCAGGTTTGGAGAAGGGAGTTGTTTAGGGAAGGGTTTCCCAGAGAGGGAGAGGTTTGAGCCAAATTTGGAAGGAGATGGACCAAGGAGAGAACATTCCATTGAAGATATACCTCCAATGAGAAATAATCAACACACAGACACCTGTACAAACATTCTGCCCAGGCATTTGTGCAAAGGTGAAGGGTGGAGCTTTTGGACAGCTGGTCTGGGACATTCCTAGAAGGAAGTAGGCCACTTGGTCTATTCCTTTACCCTTGATTCTCTGATGTGTCTTCAGTTACCTTTTAAGGGAAAGAGATTTGTTTCTTCCTAGGTGACAAGCAGTACCCTCCTCCAGCTGCCCTTCTCCTCAGTGTTGCTCCTCTGCCGCCCAGTGCTTACCTCTGTGGCCCTTAGTGCCAATTCTGTGTCCTGGAAGAGTCGTACCAAGTACACCATCAAACCAGTGAAGATGAGGAAGTCCGGGGGCCGAAACCACACAGGTGAGACCAAGGGCAAAGAGGATTTAAGCATTAAAGGGGAAAAACATGTCAGGATCCTAGGCCTATTTATTGACATGCAGAGAACTGTAACAAAAACATTTATTGGACTCCTGCATGTAGTAGGTGTGTAAGAATGAAAGCATAGAATACAAAGCAACAGAAAGGTGGTCTGTGCTCCTAAAGACCATCTCGGTAATTGAAAAAAACCAATCCTACACATGAAGTTAATTACATTGTTCTTCATGCCCTTCAAAAGTTTATGGGGTGTCTAGGTGGCTCAGTTGGTTAAGTGTCCAACTTTGGCTCAAGTCATGATCTCATGGCCTGTGAGTTTGAGTCCCGCATCGGACCCTGTACTGACATCGCAGAGCCTGGAGCCTGCTTCGGATCCTGTGTCTCTGTCTCTCTCTGCCCCTCCCTTGCTCATGCCCTGTCTTGCTCTCATCTCTCAAAACTAAATAAATATTTTAAAAAAACTTTTTTAATTTACAACAGCTGAGCACTATTTACACCGCTTGGCAAACTTACTGAACTCAGTAATTTGTAGAGATTTTGCCTGGAAGTTTTATATAATTTCAGTATCTTATAACTATGTTTTTTATCAAGTTCTATGTAGGTGTTTTCCCACCCCCATTTACCATTTGCTATGCAAATTTTTTTTGTCATTTTTCTGCTTGTATCATAATGTTGGAAAGCATTGCTCTCTGCCCAGGATGGGCCTGATCCCACTGCTAGGAACTGATTCATCTGACCTGACTCATGTCTCTGCACTTTCCTGACCACAGGCCGAATCCAAGTGCATGGTATTGGCGGGGGCCACAAGCAATGTTATCGCATGATTGACTTTCTGCGGTTCCGGCCTGAGCTGGAAGCAAAGCCAGGACCCTTTGAGGAGAAGGTCATCGTGGTCCGCTATGATCCCTGTAGGCAAGTTTGGGATGTGAGATGATGATAGTGTAGCTGAATGGCTGTTCTGGGGCTTTTCGGAAGATGTAGGGCTGCCTAGATGATCTGTTCACATGTCCCTCACCCTGAACAGATCAGCAGACATAGCTCTGGTTGCTGGGGGCAGCCGGAAACGCTGGATCATTGCCACAGAAAACATGCAGGCTGGAGATATAATCCTGAACTCTGATTACATAGGTCGGATGGCAGGTAAGAGATGGCCACCAGATGTGTATGGGCTCGGAGGATGCCAGGGGTCCGGTGCTGATGAAATTCTGTATTTTAGTTGCTGCTCGGGAAGGGGATGCACATCCTCTTGGGGCCTTGCCTGTGGGGACTCTCATCAACAACGTGGAGAGTGAGCCAGGCCGGGGAGCCCAGTATATCCGTGCTGCAGGTATGAGGAAAGGAGCTGCCTGGGGGTCTTAGAATTTGGAAGGCCAAAGGGTACCTGAGGTCCCAATTCTCTGAACCCTTGGACCCGTAGGTGGTCCACCTGCAGAGAAGAAGGTAAAAACAAGGAAAATGAGACTGGAGAGGTGCATGTGTTTTGCTTAAAACATTGCATGCGCTCTGCTTCATTGTATCTGCTCCTAAAGGGCAAAGCAAGGGCAGGGTCTGGGGTGTGTCCCGCTGCTAATCTGCCCCCACCTCCTCCTTTGTGGAGGGTGGCAAAGCTCCTTCTCCCTTACCCAGGGACATGTGGCGTGCTGCTGCGGAAGGTAAATGGAACAGCCATCATCCAGCTGCCTTCCAAGAGGCAGATGCAGGTGTGTGTGTGTGTGGGTACAGGTGGGAGGGAACAGCAAAGGAGGACATCTTGGAATGTACTCTTCTGGTCCCGGGTAATTCCTTAGGTGTCTTATGTTGGGAACTACGGTGAGCTAGGTGTGTCCTTTTCTGCCGGTGTGACTAGGCATGCCCTGTCAGTTTGACACTGTGATGGATAGGGAACAATGCCTTTTGTTTTCAAGGACCATAGCACATGCACTCAGGTTTAATTTTGCTGTGATTTTCTCCTGTCCTCTCCCTTCTCTAAGTGAGCCTAAGAAGCCTCAGTCATGCAGTCAACGTCAGGTTCTTCTTCTGTGATGCATTCTCCTCCGTCTGTTTTCTCTGTCAGGTTCTGGAAACGTGCATGGCAACAGTAGGCCGGGTATCCAACATTGATCATAACAAACGGGTCATCGGCAAGGCTGGGCGGAACCGCTGGCTGGGCAAGAGGCCTTCCAGTGGCCTATGGCACCGCAAGGGCGGCTGGGCTGGCCGCAAGATTCGGCCACTGCCCCCCATGAAGAGTTACGTGAAGCTGCCCACGGCCGCTGCCCAAAGCTGAGATCCCTGGATTCTAATAAAATTGCCCCTCATTTTTATCAGTTACTGTTTTTTGGGGGAGGGAGGATTGTACATATTAGACCGGGAGAAAAACGCTGTAGCAAACAAAAACGGAAGAGGAGAAAGGAAGGGACAATATGGGGGCAAAGACTGGAGCTGCTCCTTTCCAGCCGTCCCCCCTCCACCCTCGTCCCAGTTCTTTTCTATGTAATGGAAGAGGGGAGAATAAATGACCTCCAAGGTCTCCAGTTCTGACTTCGGGAATTGGGGTGAGCACTTCCGGTGGAAGGAGGGAGAAAGAAAAGGAAGAGGAAGGGGCGGCACGGAGGAGGTGCCGCGCGTTGCCGAGGTGGCACCTTCGACTCCGCCCAGGAGCTCTCCCAGGGCCCCTAGCTTTCCGCTGGGTTTGGCGGAAATGAGCCATGGCTCCGAGCCGGCGGCAGAGCCCCCAGAGCTGAGCGGGCGGCACTGCTGGCTGGGTACCATCTCCGCCCTGTCCTGCCCTGCCCCGCCCCTGCCGCTGATCTGCCCCTGGGCGGTGACAGTGGCCACCCAGAGGTGCCGTGTCCCTGCGCGCCACGCCCCCTGCGCGCCTGCATGTCCTTCGGAGACACGCCCCCTCCCGCCTCTCCGTCTCGACCCCCCTCGGGAGCCCAGGCGGGGCCCAAATCGCCGCCAGCATCGCCGCCATCGTCTGCGCTGCGTCCCTAGCTCAGCGAAGGACAGGCCTCGCTCCGGGACCCCCATCGACTTCTGACTGAGGTGGCCAGAGCCCCGCCGCGGCCCCCAGCCCCCAGCCCCAGCGGGTTTTCCTCCGCACACTCGCCCACCGAGCCGCGCGCGCACCCGATCTCGCGTCCCCCACCCCAGTTCCATAATGCCTGGGATTCTCGTTTATCTGGCCTAGCCCCCTCCCCCGCACCT